GGGGGTTTTGGGGTAGGTTGAGGTGGGGAGGTTGTGGGGTAGGTTGAGGTGGGGAGGGCTAACATACAGGTCGTTATTAAATAATAATTTATAATATTTTTGAAAGCCCGCTGGTGGACATGTAATAGGGTATTACCGTATTATAGAGACTTGTATTGATATGATCAACAATCTACATGGTTCATGGTCTGGCAAGGGGGGGAGCACAGTGGTTTAGGAGGTATAATATTGGGAGGAGCACAGTGGTTTAGAGATGGGGACATAATGGGTGGAAGCAGAGTAGTTTAGAGTGGTGTACATAAAGGGTCGGAGCAGGATTATTTAGGAGGAAATAATTGGGGAACACAGTGGTTTAGGAGGACATAATGGTGGGAGCACAGTGGGTTAAGGGGACATATTGGTGGGAGCACAGAAGGTTAGGAGAAAAAAAAGGAGGGAGCACAGTGGGTTAGGAGAACAAAATAGGGGGGAGCACATTGGGTTAGGAGAACAAAAAATGAGGGAGAACATTTGGTTAGGAAAACAAAATAGGAAGGAGCACTGTGGGTTAGGAAAATAAAAAAGCAATGAGCACGGTGGGTTAGGAGAACAAAATAGGAGGGAGCATAGAATGATAATGATAATAATAATGATAATGATAATGATAATGATATTAGTGATAGTGATACTCAGTAATAGTTAAATGACAGTGATAATGATAATGATAGTGATAGTGATAGATAATAGTAATAACAATGATAATAATAAAATAATAATAATAATAATAATAATACTAATGATAACAATTATAATCATCAGTTAACAAAAATAACCAGTACGGAAATTAATTTGAAAGCTAGCTATGCCATGATCAGTTAATAAGAAGTGTTGAAGAAATATAATCGATTTTGTATAAATTATGAAAATGTATTCTCCTAGTGTTGAGCAAAAAGTTTCCAAATGGTTTTGGCAATTCCTTCTTTATATATTCACTTTCATTTAAATAAGTTGGAATCTTTTTCAGAGATTTCTTTTTGGCATGCTTTGAAGAATCTGAAGATTTCTGCTGCTTTTGATCTGAAGCAGCTGAAGTATTTTTTCCAGGTAAATGACTTATAACAGTGGTCGACAAATGCTGGATTTTTAAAGGAGAAAAGCTTCTCTTCAAAATCGTCATTTTTCTGAAATTATGATTTTTACTTATTCCTAATTTTAACAGTTTTATTAATATCTCAATACATACAAATAACAATCAACTAAAATGCACTAAATACATACTTGCAATGTTACAGAAATCAAAGAAAGGTAATTACAAAACCTTGTGATTTAATATCAATTAAATAGAGACACTTACACCATATTGGTAAAATTTTATGGTCTATTCGAAGAAGACCGCTACTAGCTCCAAATTAGAAGAATTCTATTCGAAGAAGACCGCTACTAGCTCCAAATTAGAAGAATTCTATTCGAATAAGGCTTCTACTAGCTCCAAATTAGAAGAATTCTATTCGAAGAAGAGTAATTTCATAGACAAAGAAGAATTTTCATTGATAGGTAATTTCATAGACAAAGAAAAATTTTCATTGATAGGTAACTTCATAGACAAAGAAGAATTTTCATTGATAGGTAAATTCATAGACAANCCCCCCCGTGCACTCGACAGTTCGACTTGTGAGTGCAACCAATTATGAGTATAATATTAAACTACCCACCTTTATAGCCAGGGCAACCTTAATACAGTAATGCAATATACATATTCATAGGAAACAGGGAGTTTAACATATTTATTTTATCCCTGATCACAGTTTCTATCAAGCAAAGTTAAGATTTTTTTTCAAAATGTTGTCTCTTATTCTTAGAATGGTACTTTTAGAAATATAAAAGTTTTTTAGATATTCACTTATGAAGTTTTGAAGTACGTTTATTTATATTCTAGACTCTATTTTTATTTTGACACCCTGTAAAGTGTAAATGTATATCTATCAACTCTCTGTTAACTTAGCTGGCTAGTTATCATTTTAATTTCTTAAGCTCATTAAGGTCCTTGGATATGTTAACATCAATTATGAAGTCTAACAACTCAGCTATACATTGATATCCATAATTTTGGTCGAGTGTTTATAGGGAGGGGTTGCAGGGACGCCATGAGCCCTGCAAATGGTCTCCGAGCCTCTGGATTCGCAGATGATTATTTTAAATGATCTGGCGCTACCCCTATCCTTTAGAATAGATATTTTAGAAGTAATGTATACATTTTGTTTAGAAAAAATATTTTTTAATACTCATCTGCGAATACAGAGGCTTGGAGACCATTTTGCGGGGCTCATTGCACCCCTGCACCCCCTCCCTCGTGTTCATGATATAGGCCAAATAGGATTGAAATAGCTTTGTCTGATCATGTATGAGTTAGATATCAATGTTGTTTATTGATTATTTTCAATTTTTTTTGTGGCTCCAATATGATAGTTGATAAGCATTGCTAGTAAAACTTAAACTTTTAATTTGAGTGAAGCTTTAAATAGGTTAGATTTGAGTGAAACTTTAAATAGGTTGGATTGAGTAAATTTTTAAATAGGTTAGATTTGAGTGAACTTTAACTGGGCTGGATTTTAGTGAAACTTTAAATAGGTTAGATTTGAATGAAACTTTAAATAGGTTTGATTGAGTGAAACTTTAAATAGGTTATGTTTGAGTGAAACTTTAAATAGGTTTGATTGAGTGAAACTTTAAATAGGTTGGATTTGAAAGAAACTTTTAATAGGTTAGATTTGAGTGGCTCGGCATAACAAGCTTAGATTGATTTAACCTTTAAATTAGATTGATTTTGCATAGAAAGCTTAGATTTGAGTGAAACTTTGAAGTGATAAGCAATTTGCGTGAAGCATAGAAAGAACGCTTAGAATTGAGCTTTGAATAGCTTAGTTTTGTGTGAAGCTGCTAAGTAAGCTTATATTAAAGTGGCGCTACCAGAATTAAAACCGTTTAAAAGTAAATTCCATTAAAGTTGACAGTGATGAATTTTACAGCTTTCAAGCATTGAACGTGGCAAGATAAGGCAGTAAATATATCTATTCTTATGCTAAAAATACACAATACAGTTGAATTTAACATAATTCTAGAGGAGATTTTATAAAAAAAGTTTTGTACAGACTCCAAACTCCGATTCACTATAGCACCTTTGTCAGATCAAGAATATATGAGATATCCGTTTTTTTCTCTTTTAAATATCATTGTTTTCAANCCCCAGTTGAAAATCAGTTTATTCCCCCACCCCAGTTGAAAATCAGTTTATTCCCCCACCCCAGTTGAAAATCAGTTTATTCCCCCACCCCAGTTGAAAATCAGTTTATTCCCCCACCCCAGTTAAAAATCAGTTTATTCCCCTGATTCTAGGAATGGTTGTATGATTTTTTAGAGGAAAAATCTTAGGCAAAAAGTATCAAAAATATGTCAAATATATTTATTTGACCCAGATCTTCAAAAAATTATTCCCCTACCCCGGGGGGGGGGGGGGATTTTTTAAAATGATATACCCCAGCTAAGTATAAGCATTTTATTATTCACGGCGCTCCTTGACCATTCAGTTTCTTAGTTTTTTATCAGTTGAAAAAGACATTCTTGGAAAAACAATTTTAATTTTAGATTTTTTTAGGCTTCCATTGGACAGGGAGAAGGAAGGCGAGCATACACTTGTTGTGGAGGCTACTGATCAGGTACATCCTATTCATCTGTATACCAAACTTGACAGTTTTGATACCGGGCCGCCTTTGAAGTGTTGCACTGCCTCGGCCCTTAATTTAACCCTTTCAACTTAATATAATTGTATTGGTAATTATTTTCTCAAAAACATTGCAATTTTGCAATTTTAATCTTTTATTTTATTTATTTATCCTTTTCCAAAATAAAAAATATCTGACAAAACTGACAATTATTTCTTTTTATGAATTTATCAGTTTTTTAATTGTGATTTGTAATTCCTGTTCGGAAAATTAGGGCCCCTGAGAATAAACTTTTAAATGATCTAGGGCCCCCCAGGAGAACGGTTAAGCTCGACTACGAATGTGTTTATCACTGTATTGGATGAAAATGACAACTACCCCCAGTTCTCACAGAAAACATATAATATTGAGGTAATTTTCTAGGTTTAACACTTTACCACGGGTATGTGCTATGTACTACCAGGACAAATTGAAACTATTTTTTCCCTATTTTTTGATAAATTTTATCCAAAATTATATTTTCCTTTAAAATTCTAAAAAAATGCCCTCAGAGCAAACATTATTTTTAAAAATGGGAAAGGGAAGGGATTAAGAAATAATTTTACAATAAAATATAAACCCTTACACATTATTTTCCTAGTGCTCACATTTTTTAGTTTATTGTCGAAGTTGGATGGAATTTAAAAATGCCTGTGTAAAGCGATAAAGAGAAATATTTAAATGTTTATAATTGTTGAAAACTTATATTCGGGCATTGTGCCATCATTGCATGGAGGGTCACTTGAAATTACGCTTACAATCCACCAAGGATTTTTTCTCTTCAAAGTAAACACTAGAATGTATTTTAGAATTTTTCTTTAGCTAATCGCATATATTCACCCAGTAATGGTGGGGGGAGCTAAATGATATTTTTAAAAGAAAGGATGATGTTAATTGTCAAATTGATGAGTGCTGAGGACTAATAAGAATAATTGAGAAATTATTTGAGAGGAAATTATGGTTGATCCTTGTCCCAATGTTTTATTGAGGAAATTAACCTCGTCTTCTCACAAAATATTATGGCTAATAAAAATGGTTTATTGCCTCCCCCCCCTACCTTCTTTTTAACCCCNACTATATATTTAAAATTAAGGGCTAAAGAGTCCACTATATATTTAAAATTAAGGGCTAAAGAGTCCACTATATATTTAAAATTAAGGGCTAAAGAGTCCACTATATATTTAAAATTAAGGGCTAAAGAGTCCACTATATATTTAAAATTAAGGGCTAAAGAGTCCACTATATATTTAAAATTAAGGGCTAAAGAGTCCACTATATATTTAAAATTAAGGGCTAAAGAGTCCACTATATATTTAAAATTAAGGGCTAAAGAGTCCACTATATATTTAAAATTAAGGGCTAAAGAGTCCACTATATATTTAAAATTAAGGGCTAAAGAGTCCACTATATATTTAAAATTAAGGGCTAAAGAGTCCACTATATATTTAAAATTAAGGGCTAAAGAGTCCACTATATATTTAAAATTAAGGGCTAAAGAGTCCACTATATATTTAAAATTAAGGGCTAAAGAGTCCACTATATATTTAAAATTAAGGGCTAAAGAGTCCACTATATATTTAAAATTAAGGGCTAAAGAGTCCACTATATATTTAAAATTAAGGGCTAAAGAGTCCACTATATATTTAAAATTAAGGGCTAAAGAGTCCACTATATATTTAAAATTAAGGGCTAAAGAGTCCACTATATATTTAAAATTAAGGGCTAAAGAGTCCACTATATATTTGAATTGTCAGAAGTCGAATGACTGTTTTATCTATAAATCTCTTTAAGTTAATTATTGAGTAAAGTATTGGTATTGATCGCTGTTGATAAGATCTGCCTTTAATTGGCACTTCAGCACAACTAGTTTTCAAATTCTTTAAAAGGACTGTGTAAGCGTAATTTCAAGTGACCCTCCATGCAAAGATAGCAATGCCCGATGCCCGGTACCCTTGACACCTTAATCTAATCTTTTGCAAAGAAACTTCAAATGAAATTAAACAGTTTAAAGAAACAAAAACATGAATATCCGATTCATAACTTTTACAAAAATACGCGATATTTTTAGATTTTTATATAAGATATATAGTAGCCTCAAAACAACATTTAAAAGCCAACAATTTCCCCGAAAAGCAGAGTAATTTTTGATATATATCTAACCATGTACATATACAATCTATCCATCCATCTAACATCTATCTATCTATCTATCTGAAATCTATCTATCTATCCATCTAAAATCTATCTATCTTTCGATCTAACATACATCTATCTATCGATCCAACATTTATCTATCTATCCATCTAGAATCTATCTATCTATTCATCTAAAATCTATCTATCGATCCATCTAACATCTATTTATCTATCTTTCTATCTATCAAAGCTGGCATCTATCTATTTATCTATCTATCTATCCATCAATCCATCTAAAATCTATCTATCTATCCATCTAACATATATCTATCTATCCCTCTAACATCTATCTATCTATCCATCTAACATCTATACATCTATCCATCTAAAATATATCTATCTATCCATATAACATCTATCTATTTATCTATCTATCTATCTGTCTAACATCTATCTATCTATCTATCTAACATCTATGTATCTATCTAGGTATCTATCTATCTATCCATCTATCTATCTATCTATCTAATATCTATGTATCTATCTATCTATCTGTCTATCTATCTATCTATCTATCTATCTATCTATCTAACATCTATGTATCTATCTATCTATATATCTATATGTATCTATCTATCTATCTACCTATCTATCTATCTATGTATCTACCTATCTATCTATCTATCTATCTATCTATCTATTTATCTATCTATCTATCTATCTAACATCTATCTATCTATCCCTCTAACATCTATATATCTATCTAGGTATCTGAGGGACTGGATTGGAGTACTAAACCAATTGTTGGTCAAGTTCAGGCCAAGGATGCTGATGAAGGGCTTAATTCAGTTCTTTACTATTCAGGTTTCTTTTATCATTTTTTCATAATTTATCACCAAGTTTATTTATTTATTTATTTATTCATCATATTTAGAGTTTTTAGTTTCGTATCATTGTTCAGAAAATTTGATTCCCTCAACGATTTTTTATAAATCACAATCAGATTTTTGATTTTTATAAATCACAATCAGATTTTTGATTTTTATAAATCACAATCAGATTTTTGAGTTTTATAAATCACAATCAGATTTTTGATTTTTTTCGTAAATGAATTGAGTTTCTGCGCGCCACAAACCCTGATTTTCTAATCCTTATATCTTTGGAACCCAACGTTGTAGACCTTTGATATTGCCAGGCTATTAATTTTGTTAGATCCTATAATTAAGTTTAAAATTTCTAAGGTCTACACCATCAAGTTGTAAAGATAAGAAAATTTAAGTTTGTGGCAAAGACGCAATTCCTTTTATCAATTATTAGATTTAATTTTTTTATTTTATTTTAACAAAATATCAATAACAGTATTTGTCATAAAGTGTTTTTCACTGATTTAATTTAATTTACAGTTATTGGAGGAAACACCGCGAATCAATTTGCTGTGAATGAGGACAGCGGTGAAATAAGGTAAACTATTATGTATTAATTAGGGTCTGGAAGCGTAATTTTAAGTGACCTTGGCATAAAAATGCCAAATTTGCAATGGTACCCTTTAACCTTTTGACTGTTCATCGAGGAAAGAGATCTTGCAGTTTAAACCTATCAAATATTGTTCGGATTCCTTTAAATCCGAAGTGCACACTTGCGTACAGTGTAAACGGACGTTATTTGTTTAATAATTACCGCTTTTGTAAATTAATAAGAAAGCGTCAAACATCCTTATAGAGCATTCAACAATTTAGAGGACACTATTGTGAATCAGACACTGCAATCGACAAATGTAGGGATACTTACACCTACAGTCTCTTTAACAGATAGTTTTCCAGCTGTCTATAGCTGTCTGGTGTTTTCCAGCTGTCTATAGCTGTCTGGTGTTTTACTGTTGAATTATCCAACTATCTCAAATAGACTTTAGTACAACAGATGGCAACATAGAATTTGAACACTCTCAGTTCAGTGTTTTCTTACGTCACAAGTGTCAACTCAGTTTTTGTGTCCGACAAAATTATCAATAATAGTGATAATTTTAGGATAAAGTGCTTATCTTACAGTGAAATAAGTGCAATTTTATGTGTCTTTAGTTTCTGTTTTTACACTTTTTATTAATCTTGGAAAACTCGTCAACTAATGTGAGAAAATTTAGTTTTCCTTCTCATATTTGACACTTGTGACGTCGTGTATAACTGGTTCATTTCTCTGTTGCCACCTATTGTACTTGATAATCTATTTGAACTGTCTCAACTTTAGTGTGACTTGTATGGTTACCTATCAATAGGTCATTTGTGTTTCTTAATGTATTTTTCTTTATTTGGATGGCTGTCCAACGTTTTTCTTAAATATCTATAAGTCTATTGCCTTCAATATTCATCTGTTTGTCAACGTATATCTCTAAAACTATCTTGTTATCTTTCTATCAGTCCTACTGAACTGTTATTAGCAGCACAAAACATCAAGCTCTCTAACCAAAACATTCCACCCCACTCCCAAACAAAACATACCACCCCCCCCTCATTCAACCAAAACATACTAACCCCCCCCCACTCAACCAAAGCATACCA